AACTTTGACTTTAATTTGAAAATGCCTAACCAGGCATTTGCCAATAGCATTTGCCAAAAGGAGCTGCGCTGCACTCTCATAATATCAATAGGCTTGTATCAAAACTTGTCCTCACCAGGATTACATGCAGTTTGAAACATACAATCAAATCTTCTTGTTTGGACATAAATGTTTTTGAATAATAAGGCTTTGACTTTGTAAACCTTTGGCTCCTTTGTATTATATATAACTTCAGTCACTGTGCCTATATGTGGTATTTGTGAACTCCTACTTCACAAATAATAGGAGTGAAGTTTCAAGAGAAAATTCATCAGCTGATTTAGGTTAGAATAAAAAACGCAAAAAAAGAACTGTGAAACTTTATTGTTCACAAAATCCTTATTCCTAGAGGGGACATTCCATACCTTTCAGATAAATTTGTACTACTACAATTGATTGAGACACTGTTGTTAAACTTCAGAAGGAATTGTTACAGAAAGGTATGGCAAGATTATGACACATCCATTCATACATGCACGTAAAAAATTGGAGAACCTTAAAAATGCAAAATGCCATGAGTGACTAATTTCTCAATTAATGCTTAAACCTAGCATGTTTGAAAAGAGAAGCAAGGCTATAATCACATTTTTTTTTTCTTTCATAATTGGGATCCAAATGATGAGACCTTTGACTAAACCATCTGAGATAGAATGTAATACAATGAATACAATACAATCTAAGACACAAAGATAGAAAAAAGTGTGAGAAAAAATTGTTAAAGAGAAATAAAACTGTGTGAAACAAGAATTTACATTTATAAAATGAAGTTCAGTTTCCATGACATCATTGACATTTCCTGTCAATCTTATAATCTAATAAATTTTCTCATACCTAAGCATGGTGGGAAAATATTTTCTGCTGACTACAGGCCTAGTGTAAGCCCTTAGACAACAGCCTCTGTTTACAAACAAAAGTAATTTTGAGGAAAATTAATTCTTCATCTTTCAGTCCTGAAAAGGGAAAAATGGGAAGAGATCAAATTAATATCTTAATGATGAACTTTCTGTATTTTAATTAATATCTTTTATTTTCTACCTTTCTGTGATAAATAGATTTCAGAATTCAAGCCAAAATAAACAGAAGAACATTTTTGATTGCACAAAAGTATTGTAAGCTATGTTATAATTCTGTTTGTTTGAATACAGTGATGTAGCGAGGTCTCAACAAAATTATTTTTCTCAGAGGCTAAAAACAAAAAGAAAAATATAAAAAGTGTTCTTCCTCTCACCTTGGTCTATGATCGAGATCGACTGCGTCTTTTAAAGTCTGGAGAATCACTTCTGCGGCGGTAGTCATCGTACCTGGAATAAGAAACAAGATTTGTAAGAAAATGAAAAAGGAATATGGAAAGGAAAAGAAATGAAAGGAAATGGAAGAAGAAGAAGAAGGGGGGGGGGGGGGGGGAGTAAGTCTAAACCTGGTGGAAAAGAGTAGGAAAGGAGGCATATTAACACAAGTGCCCTGGATTTATGTTCTGTCCCCTGTAGTTGTTTGTGAATGTTGTTACATACAGATGGCTCCACACGTGCTCTGCTGGCAAGGAGTCTATTAGCAGCCCTAGTGACTGAACCTGGTTTCCCCATTCACTGAACTGACGGGAGAATGTATTTTTCTTTTTAATACAGTTGACATCAATACTATTGTTATTGCTATTGATGTTATGATTATTAAATTGTTATTAACCCCTTGGTGCCGGGTGATGCCGATAGGCGTGTAAACTTGAAAGCTGGCATGCAGCCAAATGAGCCGGCGGCGCGCCAAAGCGTGGCGAGCCAGTGATTCGGGTTGACGTCCCGTACTCGCGCGCTCAAAGTCGGTGCGCCGCCTTTGTTTGCTAGAGCGTAGAGATTCTTTTTCCTTTTGTACACCCGGTGTCATTGGGTTAAAATCTCGATAACATTTAAGACAATAAAATAATGCAAAAGACCCTTTCTACAAGTTGAGGAAAAGGGTAAACAGGTGAGATATGTATAACTACTAGCTGACTCTTTGGTTACTAAGCACTTGTAGAGCCATCTATGTGCAAATACAATAAATAAACTTGTATTACATTGGGCATGGCATGTATTCTTGCCATATGTGCTGATTGAGTTAAGGGAGCAAAAAGATGAGTTAATGAGAGAGAGAGAGAGAGAGAGAGAGAGAGAGAGAGAGAACAAACAATGTCATCTATATGAACTTCACTTTCAATAGTTTTAACACATACAGCGCTCAGCATGAATGCATATAATGCTTATATGGGAGGCTGGATGTTGGGGGGGGGGGGGAAGGTGAGGGTGGCTAAGTGCTGGTGTTCTGTGCACATGTTCTTGGGTGTACTAGTGTAAGCTGGAGGAACGTATCTGCTTTGTTTGTGTGTACTATGTGTTATGCGAGTCTCTTCTAGTCATGTGTAAAGTATAAATGTTTGTAAGAATATGTATTAGTGTGATGTGTCATGTTTTTCTGGTTGTGTGCATTG